CGCCACTCACAGCCTCATTCAGCGAAGCTGTCTCCTGCCAAAGCCACTGCCATCCTTAGCTGCAGGCGGAGACAGACCGCAGACGGCTTCATTTAGAAGCATCTCAGGAGGACCTCCGCGCCCGGCAGCTCTTCCCCCGTTGACTCCGGGGCCCCCAGGGTCGGGACCACACAGGAGCTCGGGGCCTGATTGTGACCACGCTCATCTGGGCCGGAGCCCCGAGCTCGCTTGTGGGACGGGAGCCACGACCTTGCCGCTGGGGACTGTCCCTTGAGCCGCTCAAGGGCGTTTGGTAAGGGACACGGTGCTTGGTCACGAAGAGCTCAGGCCCCACAAAACCTAGGACAAGTGTCTGAGCCTCCTGCGACCTCCACTGTCCTGTCTGTAAAATGGACACACAGGGGGCCCGGCCATCGCAGGACGCCCAGAGGCGCGTGTGAGATGAAAGTGCAGGTCCCGCTAACGCTGCTGTGGTGAGACAGGGCTGATGACGCACCTGGCGGCTTGGCCTTCCCAGCGTCCTCTCTGCTGACCACTGGCTTTTGGTTTGGGCCTTAGGGGTTTCTGGGCCGCAGAATAGGCCCATTCACCCTGGGGTGGACATTCTTGCCGGAGGCAGCTCTCAGGAGAGGCCCCTGGACTTTGGTTTCCATGTCCGGGCTTGGCGCCCAGCTGAGCCCTGGGGCACCTGCCCCTCCTGCCTCTGCTCCGCCCTCAGCCCCGCCTTCCAGGCCATAATCAGGTCCCACCCGGCCCAGAAACCTGCCGGGGCCTGGTGAATTCTTTGCACACTTACTCTTTCACTCATTTGTTCACCCCCTCCAACCTGTTTGCAGCTTCTTGAGTTCCAGACCCTGGGTAGGGCCCCCGGGGAGTGGGACGAGAGCAGACCTTGCCAGGTGGAAGCGAGCTCGCCACAGTGGGAGAGGCCACACGATGTGCGTCCTGCCCCCGGCCCACAGCCTCCCGCGAGCCCAGTGCTGCTGGGGACCGGGAGGTGCCAGAGTGCACTGTCCGGTCAGGGAGGGAGTACCCACACCCTGGGGAAACTGTGGATTTCTGACGTCCGAGGCGCGTGTGGTTCGCGGTCTCTGGCGTGTGGCAGGTGCACAGCACTTGTTTCTAGACGCATGGACAGATGGACGTGCCTCCTCCGTGAGGGTTCCGGGGAGCGGGGCCTGCGGCGAGGATGATTTCTGGTTGAAGCTCTCTGCCATCCACGCGGGCTCTGGCTGGGCAGCTCCTCGGGTCCCAGCTCCTCCGTGCCCCCTCAGGGAAGGGTGAGAGGAGGTGCCGCCCCTCTACACCTCTCCCTGTGGGTGTCCTGAGGATGCCCAAACCCACAACCCCAAACGTGGTGGCTCAGAACAATAGGAGTTTAGTCTGCGGTTCTGGGGGCCAGAATTCAGCAGGGATGCACCCTCTGCAGCCTCCACGGGAGAGGTTCTGCGTTCCTGGTGCCAGGATCCTCCTCTCTGCCCCGTCTCTCACAACCACACCTGTCAGTAGCCCAGGACTCTACGTCCAGATCACATCAGCGAAGACCCCCTCCCCCTCCAAACAAGGTCACCTTCACAGGTTCAGAGGCGAGGACAAGGCCATATCCTGGTTCCACCGAGTGCCAGGGCCAAGGCAGCCCAGCGCGGGGGCCCACCGCGACTCATGGGAGCAGAGTGGGAGAGGCGGGGCCCGGGGACCCAGGCAGAGGAAGTGGGCAGCTGTTCCGTGAGGGTCAAGTTTCACTTGGCCCAGCGGTCCGCCCTGGAGATCCGCCATGCAGCGCAGGCCTGCCAGTGCGCATCCTGTATTGCGCTCCTGAACTGTTTGAAAGAGAGTGGATCTCATGTTCCGCGTTCTTGCCCAGAACAAAAACCCAACAGGGCACAAGGAAGCCTTTGAAGGCGACGGATGTTTTATTACCTTAATGGTGGGGATGGTTTCGTGGGAGTTTGCGTGCGTCCAGAAGCGTGGAGCTGTATACACAGACTATATACCGCTTCCGGAGATCAAGTCTACCCCCACAAGGCTATGAATTTTTCCACGGGGCTGGTGTCGAGCCTAGCAGTGAAGGTGCTCCCAGCCCCACGGCAGAGTTGCTGGAGTCCAGTCCCTGCTCCACTCCCGACTTAGCTTCCTGCTCACCCACACCCTGGGAGGCCGCAGTGATGACTGAGGAACTGGGTTCCCGCCACCCACATGGGGGACCTGGGTTGCGTTCCCAGCTCTTGGCTCCCACCCCTAGCTGGGCTGTTGCAGGTATTTGGAGAGTGAACCAGCAAATGGGAGCCCTCTCTCTCTCTCAAATCTAAAAAGAATTCAAAATTTTACAAAATTTGACAGTGACATTGTAGCAACATGGAAAGCTATTGTAACAATGTTAAGCAGATTGTGAAATTGCATATAAATGACTACAAGTCTGGAAAACATGCATGAGTAAGACGCCGTGTTCTAAGAGACAAGACCAAGCAAAGCAGGTTGGCGGCTGGGCACCAGGGACAGCACTGTTGCCAGTCTGAATGCTCCCAGACCCGGAGACCTCAGAGTGGCAGCTGCCTGGACGGAGAGAGGATGGCGCTGAGTGCCAGCCCCACGGGGCGTCTCCAGCCACCTCTGGGAACTGCAGGTGTCAGGAAAATCAAGCCTTTTATTCCTGTCTACCTTTTTTTTTCCTTTGACAGATAGTGTTAGACAGTGAGAGAGAGCGAGAGACAGAGAGAAAGGTCTTTCTTCCGTTGGTTCTCCCCCAAATGGCTGCTATGGCCGGCACACTGCCCCGATCTGAAGCCAGGAGCCAGGTGCTTCCTCCTGTTCTCCCATGGGGTGCAGGGCCCAAGCACTTGGGCCATCCTCCACTGCCTTCCCGAGCCACAGCAGAGAGCTGGCCTGGAAGAGGAGCAGCCGGGACTAGAACCCAGCGCCCATATAGGATGCCGGCACCGCAGGCAGAGGATTAACCAAGTGAGCCACGGCGCCAGCCCCACTGTCTACCTTTTTTAAAAATATAAATATGTATTATTTATTTTCTTCACATGAAAGGCAGCGTGACAGAGAGAGGGAGAGACAGAGAGGGATCTTCCATCCAGGAATTCATTTCTCCAATGTCCACGATGGTTAGGGCTGGGCCAGGCTGAAGCCAGGAGCCAGGAACTCCATCCGGGTCTCCCACATGGGTGACAGGGACCCGCATACTCGGAGCATCTTCCATTGCTCTCCCAGGGGCATTAGCAGGAGCTGGATGGGAAGTGGAGCAGGCAGGGATTGGCCGTTTCCCATGTGGAATGCAGGCGTCGCAAGCAGCAACTTCAGCCGCTGAACCACAGCAGTGGGACGGCTCCGTTGCAGGCTGTTTTCCCCGGCACATGGTGCGGGGCTTCTCTCTTCTCCATAACCCACTCGGGGGTTTTTCTGAAACTGAAGATTGAGCCGGGAGCAAACTCACGGTTGATCCAAGTGCGAGGTGCCCAGCCCTGGTGCCCACCTGGGCTTCTGGTTGCCGTCTGGGCCTCTGCCTGCATGACTGGCAGCTTTGGGATTGGGAGCAGACCCCTGCTGGGGTCAGCAGAGCCCCAGACAATTCCTAGACGCACCCCCACATCCCAAACCCGAGGCTGGGGCTGATGCCAGGAAGCTCCAGGAAATGGGGTTCTTGAAGGGACTTCCCAAGGGTCCCCGAGCTCCCCAGGGGACTCGTGAGCGCTGGGCTAGCTGGGGACCTGTCCCCTCGGAGCAAGAACATGGGCACCCTTGGCACAGCTGGGTCCCCTCTCCACCTGCTTCTCCCCGCTGGTCTCTCACAAGCTCCCGCAGCCCCTGCCTCCTTCTCATGTCGTTGGGCCTCAGTAGAAGTTCCAGGAAGAACCCAGACCTTAGAGCCCGAGTGTCCCCGCCACCGTTTCCCCTGGGAGTCAGCCCTGAGCCAGCTGCTGCTCTGGGCCTGGGTCTCCCCCGCTGCGCCACGCTCCAGCCCCCCCGCTCCCCATGTGAACCCTCTCAGTTCCTTGTCTCAGGCCCCAGGGCTCAGCTAACCACCCCTGGGCAGCGCCACCCAAGCCTGGACTCCCGCCCAGAGCTTGGGGCTGTCCGGGGACCCCAGAGTCCTGGGTTCCCCTGCGAAGCCTGGAGGAGCCTGCCCCCTGAGCGAAATCCCAGATACGAGCCCCTGACCAAGGACAGGGGACACTGAGCTCAGGGCGTTGGCCAAGGCTCTGGCCGGGCATCCTCAGGCGAGGGTAGGATGTGGAGGCGGAGTCCCCAAGGAGACTTCATGACTTCAGGACACCCTCCCTTGAGCCCCTGCCTCCTGAAGGCACCACCCTGAACCCAGCCTTGAAAGCTGGGAACTTTTGGGGTCATTTGACATTGAAACCATAGCCCCGCCTCCACCAAGGCTGGTAGGACCACCACAGCCCCTCTGCCCAGGAAGCCTCCCCACAGTGTCTTCCCCACCTGGATTCCAGCCCCGCCCCTCTGTCAGTCACCAGGAACTAGCAGGTGCAAAGCTCCATTGACCCCACGCAAGACGCACGGCTGTGCTCCCAGCATATGGGCTGCACACACACGAGACTGAATGAACGGACAAATCAGTGCATAGCTTGGCAAGGGAGCCCACGGCCTCTCCACCTGCTCCTGGCTGAGACCCTGGCCTCCCTCGGGTCATCCTCACAGATCCCGTCCCGCGAGGCTGCGCTGCACAGCCTCATGCGTTCCCTTAGACGTGCAGGACGCAGCCAGCACCGGAGGCAGGGAGCTTTCACCTCCACTGCGTCCCGAGGGAGGGGCAGGCTGGGTGCTCCCCCTCCCGGGGTCTGTCTCCCTCACAAGGGCCAGGCAATGGCTCCCTGAGCTCCGGTCCAGGTGCTGTTCGGGGCCGCCCCCGGCAGGCTCTCACACCTGCACCTGCTCCTGCGTCTCCCCCTTGCAGCTGCGTCTCCACGTGACTGTGACGGGGAGAGGGAGCACGCGGCCCGGCCTCACCCACCGGCTCTTCCCTCTGTCCGCAGGTGGGCCCCCGTCTGGATACCTTCCCCACGGAGGCCGATCGCCAGAGAGCGCTCACAGCGCACCGGGAGGAGTGTGCCGTGCGCCAGGGGACCCTGCGGATGGGCAACTACACCCACCCCTGAGTCGCCTCCGGACAACGCAGGAACTAGCACAGGACACCGAAGTTCTCACCTCCTGCACTGCCTCCACCCCCACCCCACCCCTGCCCCGCCCCCTTCCTGCAGCTTCCGCCGCTGCCTGGGCCTCCATCCTGGTCTCAGCTTAGCTGTTTCCGGTGAGAGACTCCGCCCCATCTTAGGTTAACAACCCTAAGGTTACCCCAGCCCAGGCCACCCCCTGCAAGCTAGAGCTCCATTGTGGGGGGTGCCACCACGGCAGGGCCTGCCCCACCTCCTGCGCTGGGCCCTGTCACTCAGGAGTCCTGGACTTGGGGAGGAGAGCGCCCTCCCCTGGCAGTCTAACCCCAGGCCCTCTTCTTGCTGCCTTCCTCACTATTTTACATTAAAAATGCTGTTTGGCAGCCCCCTCTGATGTCTTCCTTTGGAAACTAGGAAACTGGAGCAGACCCTCCAGCCCTCCCCCAAATGTTGATGCTCAGCCTGGAGCTGTCCCTGGGACTCTGGACACCCATTGCCCTCCTGACCTGTCCACCGCGGCCGTCGTCTCTACCCTGCACGGCCAGCTCACTCCTGGATTTCTTTCCCACCAAGCTCTGTCTGGAGTGAGACGGCGCCCAGGTGCCAAAGCCAAACCCTCCTTGCTCTATCTGCTCCACTGTCCACTCCTAACCCATGCACAGGCCCGTCTGTCCACCTCCACCCCCGTGACATCTCTCTGACCACCATCCTCGTGCCCTCAAAGCCCACTCCCCACAGAGCGGCCCTAGGACTCTCAGCTCTGCAGCAGAGGGAGCCAGCACCCTCCCTCCCTGCCCCTGCGCCTCCCTCACTACCCTCTCGCCACTCACCCCTGCCTGATGCTTTGCACTTGGGCCTCCCTCTGCCTACCACACCTGGGCCTCCTCCTTGCCACTGTGATCCTAGCTCTGGGGGTGGCCTTTTAGCCTAGCGGTTAGCATGCCTGCACCCCGCACTGCAGTACCTGGCTTCAGTGCTTGGCTCCAGCTTCCTCCGTGCACATCTGGGGCTCACCCACAGGGGAGTCCTGGAATGAGTCTCCAGTCCCCGCCCAGCCTGATCACTGTGGGCATTGGAGTGAGCCAGCTGATGGAAGGCCTCTCTCTCTCTCTCTGCCCCCTGCCCCCCACTCTATAACTCTGCCTTGAAAATAAATAAAATAAATCTTTCTTTTTTATTTTTTTATTTTTTGACAGGCAGAGTGGACAGTGAAAGAGAGAGACAGAGAGAAAGGTCTTCCTTTTTGCCGTTTGTTCACCCTCCAATGGCCGCCGCGGCCGGCGCATTGCGGCCGGCGCACCGCGCTGATCCGATGGCAGGAGCCAGGTGCTTTTCCTGGTCTCCCATGGGGTGCAGGGCCCGAGTACTTGGGCCATCCTCCACTGCACTCCCTGGCCACAGCAGAGGGCTGGCCTGGAAGAGGGGCAACCGGGACAGAATCCGGCGCCCCGACCGGGACTAGAACCCGGTGTGCCGGCGCTGCAAGGTGGAGGATTAGCCTAGTGAGCCGTGGCGCCGGCCTAAAATAAATCTTAAAAAAATTATTTAGGGGCCGGTGCTGTGGCGTAGCAGGTAAAGCTGCCGCCTGCAGTGCCGCCATCCCACATGGGCACCGGTTCAAGTCCTGGCTGCTCTGCTTCTGATCCAGCTCCCTGCTATGGCCTGGAAAAGCAGTAGAAGATGGCCCAAGTCCTTGGGCCCCTGCACCCACGTGGAAGACCCAGAAGAAGCTCCTGGCTCCCGGTTTTGGACCAGCCCAACTCCAGCCATTGCAGCCATTTATGGTGTGAACCTGTGGGTGCAAGATCTCTCTCTGTCTCTTCCTCTCTGTAACTCTGCCTTTCAGATAAAATAAATAAATTTTTTTACATTTTTTTATTTTTAAAAATAGCCCCAGTTGAGTTCCCACCAACCTGCTTTACTCTACACAACTCTTGAACCCTGTCAGAGTTTGTTCACGTCTTTGCTTCTCAGGGAAGCCGCCCTGGTTCGGGGATCTGAGATCCCAGGGCCCCAATCCCGGGGGTCAGCACAGGAGAGGGGTCTTCCCAATGTCTGCGGGAAATGTGGGCCGTGAAAAGCTATGCACGAATTTCAAAATTTCCGCACCCAAATAAACTCACCTTAATTCCATTTTCCCACAACTCTGCAGTCCCCTCCTAGGTGCTCAGTGACATCTGGGGAGTGGCTTCTGTGACTCCCACTGCATCCCCCAGGCCACCCCCGCCGCACCCGGGAGGCTGGCCTGCACCAAGTCGCAGACCTGAGCGGGCTTCCTGATTGGAAGCCAACTCCCCAAGTACCGCCTTCAGGAACCAGGCTCCACAGGGCCTCCAGAAATCCCACCCCACCCATGCACCTCCCAGCACCAGAACCAGAGGGGACCAGGCCTCCTCTTTCACTTTGGCCAAGCCCTTCAGGCCAGCGGAGCAGCAGCAGAGTGCAGGGGGTGGGCTTGGGAGAAGGCTTGGGAGAAGGGAGCCCGGCTCTGCCTAGGGGTTTCTTCTCTTTTTTCTTTTTAGATTTCTGTCTTTATTTTGAAAGAGTTACAGAGAGAGAAGGAGACACAGAGCAAGGTCTTCCGTCTGCTGGTTCACTCCCCAAATGGCTAGGGCTCGGAAGCCAGCAGCTGGGAGCTTCCTCCAGGTCTCCCGTGTGGGTGCAGGGGCCGGCACTTCCCAGGCTGCGCCCCAAGCTGCAGCTGGCACCTGCCTTTAGAGTGGATGCTGTGGTCAGCACGGGGCCTGGCACTTTTAGGCACAGGGAAGTGCCTTCTTCCTGCTATTTAAACCCAGCGGGAGCTTGGCGATACCCCAGCAGGTGGACAGACTTGGAACGAAATTCACTTCTTTGCTGTGAAATCTGCTATGGAGAGAGGACAGGGGCACATCAGGAAGCCAAAGAGTTTCCTGGGGGGGACCCAGCATTGAGCTCCGCCCACCAAGAGGTGGGGCAGGCCTCTTGCCTGCAACCGGCCCTGGACCCAGCGGAGTGACCAGCTCAGCCAGAAAAACTCCAGGAAACCTTTTGTTTGCCCAAGCACGCCCTGCCTGCACCCTGGGACTTGCTGGGCTGTGACCAGAGCCCTGGGAGCAGCTCCCAGCCTGCTCTCGCGGGTGCTCCTACCCCTGGTGTCCCAGGTCCGTGCCACGCTGGCCGCAGAGCCCCTCGGCTCCTTGTCCAACAGCGCCACCCGCTGGTGAGCAGAGTCGGCGGCGGCAGAGGATTGCAGCACCTCCCTCCGGGCTCCCCCCAACTCCTTCAAGATTCAAGCCCACACAAAGCCCCAGGCTGCTTCCCGCCTGAGTCCACCTCCTGGGGTCTCCTGTCGCGTGGCCAATCCCTGGTCTTCCCTGGACTGATCCTGGCTGGGGACCATCAATAGTTTACCCTTCATAACCCAGGACAGAGCCCTCCAAAGTCCCAGCCCCTGGCATGTCCCCCAATGTCTCAGCTGGGCAAGAGATGCCCAACAGAGCCTGTGGTCCTCAATACACGAGGCCAATAAACTACCCCGTCCACCGCTCGTCCAGTGCCTGTCCCACTCCACCCCAGCCGGCCGCAAACTGCTCAATACAAGATGGGTAGGAACGGGGAGAGCTTGGCTTTCCACTCCTGTCTCCTAATCACGCAAGTGCCACGTAGGGACGGGCGTCGTTGGAAGGACCGTCTTGTCTTGTTTTGGTGAACACTCCCACTGGCTGGCATCCGGGAGCATTCTCCCCTCTGGGTGGCTTTATTGCAACACCCCACTAGCCAGACAGAGCGGTGTAGGAGCAGCTGGCCCCCACCCTCCTCTGCTCTGCTTGGCAGTCTGTGAAGTCCTCTCAGGTGGGGGGACAGTGCCACGCGACGAGCACTTGGCGGGTTGGGTTGCAGGTGGAATTCTGCGGTGCAGGAGCACGGAGATGGAGCCTTTGGCAAAAGCACGCATTGAGACGCAATGGCCTTGAGGAACCATCTAGAACCACCAGGAGAAGACGAGGAATTTGGGGGGCAGCAGCAGCAGGTCCTGCTCCCCTTCCATGCCACCCCCACCCACCGCAGTCTAGTTCCAGATTTTTAAACTGGGTCCTACCCCCCCCCGACACACACCCCCCTCCCTCTCTCGCTCTCTCATATCACCAGACGATTAATCATTTTCTTGGCCGGAAGAAAGGAGAAGGGGTTCTGGAGTAGGACTGCTGTGAGGATTTCTATCCGAGATGGCAGCCACGAGCCAATGGCCATCTGCGCTCCCTGCCTGGCAGGGGCCCCTAGCACGGCCCGCAGGCCACACAGCCAATCCCAGCTCCCAAGGAGAGAGCCCTGGACCCAGGCAGAGAGGCTTTGGCTTCCTGGTTCCCCACCCTGATGTCCCACCTACTGCTGGCTCAGACAGAGCGCACCCAGGGCCCCAGAGGAGCCACATCCCGCGGCGGGGGGCAGTGGAGGTGGTGCTGGCCGCGGACACAGCGCCCCCTGCACTGGGGCTAGGCAGGTCTAGGCGTCCAGCTGGGTGCCTCCCCTTGCATTTATCCCCAGATGTGCCTTGTGCTATCTTTCTTTTCGCCTGGGAAACTCTCTGATGCTTGCAATCACCATTAAGGGAATTTTTTTTTAATGTGATGGTTTTTAAATACAGATTCCTAGGACCAAATGCAGGTCGGTTAACAGCTTGAATTGACAAAAGAAGGAGATTCAGGTGGACGGACGGACACCACGGCATTCTGGGAGCCCGTCCCTGGATGGATCTGCTCTGGGAGACTCTCCAAGGCTCATGCACTGCACTCTGTGCCAGCAGCAGACTGCGCGCACTTAGAAGGAGGGAAGGGGGAGGAGGAGGAGGAGGAGGGAGAGATGGAAGAATTTGCTCTCTTAGGACTTCCCTGGAGCTCTGGGCAACACAGACACACAGGCTGACAACAGTGTGACCTTGAGGCCCACGGACTGCCCACCTCCGTGCCCAGCGCATCTGCTGTGGAGCAGGGACCTGCTGGCACCCAGGTCTGGCGTGCACCAGCAGCAGCCACCGCCCCGCTCCACCACCGCCATGCTGCAGTTTTGGAAGGGGGGCCTGGGCGAAGGTGGGGCTGGGGACCCCGTGGGAGAGGGTCCCCAGACCGCAGAAAGCAGCTGCAGCCGCTGTTGGCAGGGCTTGCTCCCCAAAGCCACGCAAAGCGGCACCGTCACCGTCTTAGCGACGGAAACAAACAGTGCATGGGGCAGTGATGGACTTAAAACATCCGAGTCCCGATGAGGGTGAGGTGCTGGCCCAAGGCCCAAAACTGAAGGCACGGCCAAGAGACTCCGGATCCCGAAAAGCCATGTTTTAATACCGATTTTTTTTAATCAAAACTTAACAATTCACAACAGATAAAGAATTCCCACATTCCAGATAAAAACTTGAGAGACTCCAGGGTCTGAGCCGAGCCCTAGGCTCCACGGTCAGGATTCTAACCCAGTCCTGAAATCCGCGTCCTTAGCAATCCAGCGCCGTGGTGCTGCGCCTTGATCCAGTCCTTCAGAACTTAACTAGCAGTGCTGCGTGAGAGCAGGGACGAACCAGGGCCAGCCTGGAACTGCTGGGAGCACCGGGCCGGCAGCAACCGCTCCTGCAGTTGGGCGGGGCTGGGCGGGGAGGGAGGGAGGTGGGGCTGAGGCCCAGGCTCCGGGTCCACCCTCAGCCCAAAGCCCAGCCTGAGCCACCAGCCCCCGGCGGAGGGGGATGTGGCCCCACCGGCTAGCATGCCTGGCCCCTCCCGCCCCTGCCCCTCACCACAGTGCTCTGAAGGGAATGCCCACCCCTGCCCCCCACCCCCATCCCGTCCCATCTCCAGGGACTTGATAGAGTGCCCCGTCCACTAAGGGAGGGGTGGGCAGGACTGGAATTTGAATTTGAAGCAAGAGAGGAAGGAGGAAGCTGGGAGTGGGAGGGCGCTGGGGCCCAGGACGGGGACTTGGACCCTGGCACAACAGTTCTGGGTCCTGGTTAAGACTAGTGGCCCTGGGAGCCTGGCCCTGGTCACAATCCTTCCCTTTCCTTCCTCTAAGGCCCCAACCAAGCCCCCCTGCCAGGCCCTGGGGGAGGAGGCCTTGGGGGAGGAGGGCTGGGGAGGGCGGTCTGTCCCTGGCTGTCTGGTGGGGGCTCAGGGAAGTTAGAGACCTTACCGCGGGCGGGGAGGGGATGGGGGCTGGTTCACACCTCAGAGTCCAACCGGGCTTCTTTTCCAACGGGTGAGGGACAGGCAGGATCTCCCGTGTGCTTAGTAAAAGGGTCAGTTCCTGGGCCACTTTCCGGCTACACAAGAGCCCAGGGGAGTGCACACGAGCCAAGGCCGAGCTCAGGTGGTGAAGAAAAGCGAGAGGAGGGGGCCCTGGGTGGAGCTGGGAGTCCCTGGGCAGGGAGGAAGCCCAGCTGGGGAGAGGGGCTAAATCCTTGCGTCTTATAATAGATGGCGGTGATTCAGGGCCAGTCGTGTGGTGCCCACGCCCGTTAAGTATCCCTGGGCTCCAGGAGCCCGCAGAGACGGCTGCAGCTGCGAGAAGTCGGGGCCCCCAGTCCTCCTCAGCCTGGAGCCTTCCATGGCCATCCCCTCCGGGTCCTCTCCCACCGGTCTCCACTCTCAGGGCCCCGGGAGGCTGCGCCTTCGCTCGGTCCGGGATCCGACTCCAGCCCAAGTCTCAGAAACCGGGGGAGCGTCTGAGCCTCAGCCAGAGCGCTCTTGGGGCCTGGCGGGGTCCCAGGACCCCGGCTCAGGGGCCGTCACCACCGCAAACAAGCCCCGGGGGAAGGGGTCTCGGTGCTTCGGGTCCCGGGCGTGGGCGCTGCGGAAGAGTCTGGAGGCTCCCGAGGCGCCGGGAGCAGGAGCCCAAGCCGGACGCTGGCGGGAACAGGGCCCGGGCAGCCCCCTTCCCTCTCCTGGTGATTTATGGCCCCTCTCCACCCACCAACCCGGTGTGAGTGCCGGCCGGCGCGCTCCGCCGCGGGAGGCGCCCACTGCAGCGGTCTGTGAGCCGGGGCCGGGGCCCCAGCCCTCCCGCCTCTCCGACAGCTTGCAGCCGAGGCCGGCCCGCCGTCCCCGGGGAGCCGCCCGCGCTCGCCCCCAGCCCGGCCGGCGGCGAGGCCGCCTCCAATCTGCCGGCGGGCGCAGGGGGAGCGCGCGGGGAGTCGGGCTTGAGGCCACCGCTGACCTCGCCCGAGGGAGGAGAAAGTTTTCCGTTCCGCCCGGCCTCACGAGGCTGCCCTGGGCCGGGGCTGGGATTTAGGAGGAAGCGGGCGCCTCACGATTCCGCTCCGGGCTCGGACGCTACGCCCCATGCGGGGCCGGGGTCGTTTTCCGGGATCGCAGGGCCGGGGGCAGGAGAGCGTGGGGCTGGGCTGGGAGGGCCGGGGCTCCGGACGTGCGGCGGGCGAAGGGCGCCTCGGGCCGCGGGTTCCCGCCGCAGGCGCACGGGCTGCGCTCCCTCCACGGCCCGAGGTCTCGATCCTCGCCTCGCGGCTGTGCGGAGAGGACCAGGCCCCGGGCGCGCTTCAGATCCGCCCGCCGTCCGGAGCCAGGACCCGGAGGCCGAACCCTGAAGGGCGTGGAACTGGGGCCCCGTGGCGGGGCGGGGCGGGCGAGGCGAGCGGGATCCACCACGCCGCGGCCCTGCTCTGGCGCGCGGCGGCCCCGCCTGGACTCGGAACTGTTCGCGGACGTCTGGAGAACCCCAGCGCGGTCCGGCTCCCGAGGCGCAAACGCCGCTGCTCTCCGCCCGCCGCCGCGGAGGCCGCGGCCTGGAGGCCAGGCGGGGCCCCTGCTTTCTTTGTCCCTTGCGCCGCCTGCCTGGGCGCCCTGACTCCGGGGGCGCGATCTTCCCACGGTCTACGCCCGCCCCCTCCCCCGGACGGCCACCTGGCCTTCCCGCCTCCGCGAGGTCCGCAGGGCCCACAGAAAGCTGCGAATTGCCCTAGGCAGGAAATGTCTAGAACCCAGCGGGAGAGACGCTCGGAAAACCGGGAAACTTCATTCAGTTCCCCCCCACCCACACACACACACTGGGACACGGGGCTCACTACACACGCACGCGCCCCTCTCCGCGGCGTTTGGTTCCTTTCTGTTGCTGGAAGAAGACAGAAAACGAGGGGGGCAGAACGGGGGTCCCGGGCGGACCGTGGAGGAGCGGATTGCACAGCGGTGGGCCGGGGCCGGGAGCCCCTGCGAGCCGCCCACCCTCACTGAGGACCTCGTCGTCCACCTAACGACACCGAAGCGCTGGCCCACAGTCGGGTCTGCGCCGTAATTAATTCAGTGTCTGTTTTAATCACACGGAAAGGGACTCGGGCAGCGGCTGGCGAAGCCGTGACATCACCCCCAAAATCGGCCGGAGCCAATCAGCGGCACCACTCCGGGGACACGTGGGCGAGCCCCCTTTAAAAAAAAAACACACATACAACACAACGAAAAAAAAAAACACACACAAAAAAAACCCACCCAGCCCCAAAGTAAAAGTGACACAAGTTCATTTTTTTAAAGGAAGGGGGGGAGGCGACGGCGCGCGCGGAGGGCGGAGAGGCGCTGTCCGCGGTGCTGACGGCCTCGGCGCGCGGGCGGCGGCGGCGACGGCGCAGAGGACCCCGGGCAGGTGCAGCCGTCATGAGCCGCGGGCCGCCGCCGCCGCTCTCCGCGGTGCTGACGCCGCCGGGCCGGTAGCGCGGCCCGGGCCCGCTGCTCTCCTCGGCGCTGACCCCGCCGCCCTCCGCCACCGCTTGCCCGGAGAAAGCGTGGGGGTTTGGATTTTTTTTTAAAGCCGTTCTTTATTTAGATTCCAACGTCCTCGCGTTGCGTCCGTGCCAAAGGGGCCCTCAGGCCCGTCCTTCTCCTTGGCGCTCCCCAACTTGGCGCGCCCTCCCTCCCCTTCCTCCCTGACACTCCCACCACCCCCCCTCGGCTCGGCGGCTCGGCGCGGTGCTGCAGAAGACGCGCTGAGCCCTTTCGGATCTAATGCGCAGAGGAGATTGGCCCAGAGCTCCCGGGCTCCCCCAAGGCTGAACTTCGTCCAAGGTGCCCTCAGGCTCCCTGCCCGCCTTCCCCATGCCAGCCCGCAGCTAGGGGCAGGGGCAGCGGCGGCTGGGGCTGGGGGTGGGTGGGGAGCTGCTGGGCAGGACAGGTCGCAGCTTGGCTATGGAAGGCTCCAATGGCTTTGGGATCGACTCCATCCTCTCCCACCGTGCGGGCAGCCCCGCCCTTCCCAAGGGGGACCCCTTGCTCGGGGACTGCCGCTCACCCCTGGAGCTGAGTCCGCGCTCCGAGAGCAGCAGCGACTGCTCCTCCCCAGCCTCACCGGGACGGGACTGTCTGGAGACGGGCACCCCGCGGGCAGGCGGGGCACCGGGCCCAGGTTTGGACTCCCACCTGCAGCCCGGGCAGCTCTCCGCCCCAGCCCAGTCGCGCACCGTCACCTCCTCCTTTCTGATCCGGGACATTCTCGCTGATTGCAAACCACTCGCGGCCTGTGCACCCTACTCCAGCAGCGGGCAGCCAGCAGCCCCTGAGCCCGGAGGACGCCTTGCGGGCAAGGCCGGGGAGGACTTCAGAGACAAGCTGGACAAAAGTGGCAGCAACGCTTCATCAGACTCTGAATATAAAGGTAAGAAAAACGGGAGGTGAAAACCTGGCGGGAGCGCTACGTTTGTAAAACCGGCATTTAAAACTTGAGCACACGCATGCGGGAACCTGCACATGCCCACCTCGGAGTGCTCCCAGGGCCCAGGCTGAGCGGCCGGTTTGGTGCGAACCATTCAGCCAGCCCCGCGGCTGTGCCCTTTGAGCAACAAAGAGCCCAGCGGGGGGCGTGGGGGCTGGGGAGGGTCCAGTGTGCTGGGGAGAGGCTCCTCAAATGCACAGAGCGAACTTTCTAAACTTCTGCTGGTACGGACACTCGCCCGGCAGTGCTGGGGAGCAGGAGTGGGGCTCCTTCCAGGCCGGTGGGTCTCTGGGAAAAGACCTTGTGAAAGCACTGGAATGGCCCAAAGGCCCTCGGCAAGAGCCAATGCCTGTAGGAAGAATTCCAGCTGGAGCCTTGAGGACTGTGAGAACTGTGCATGCTTTAATCTGAATTTCCAGACGGGAAGCGTGGCCGGCTTTCCCTCCATCGGCCCAGTGTCTTTAGTGAAAGAAAGACTGACTTCAAAACAGAGCTGCAGCCAGGCAGCTGTCGGGGAGCAGATTAGCAGGGAAGGACCCGGTACCTACCCGGAGGTTCTCACTGAAGTCAATTTGAAATTGCCAGGAAGCCACTAAAACCAGGCTGTGCGCAAGCCCCAGGGACTCCTGAGGAACCATCTCCGCTTTCCCCGATGTAGACTGGGTGCCCGGCTACTTCATATTCACAGAGCAGGCCTTGCGCACTCTTCACTCCGTCCTAGGAACTACGGGGAAAGGGGGAAGACAGGGAGGGAAGCAGAAGAGGAATTGTCCCCTAGTCCCAGCCTCGATGTTAGCTCTTGTTGGGGCCAGAAGCACCAAGTGCCTTCTAGGAAGAACGCAAGAGGCAGCGTGAGAAGCGCGGAGTGCCAGGGCTCGGGGGAGAGATCTGTGCCCCATCCAGCAGAAAACTCGAAGGCTGTCCCTTGCTGCTTCGGTGGCATAATTAATTTGGGGGATGTTTTTCCTGAGACAAAAATGCCTCCCTATAAAAGCAACTTCTTCATTGTCTCGGGGAGGGGCCCTGCACCTGCACCAAGACTCCATGAAAATTTTAGCAAGACTCACCTGCTCTCCTGCAGACCAAGAATTCGTTTGTGGGTATTGCTCGGACTTCAAGCCGAAGTCCAGGTGGGGCCGGCCCCATGCCACATCCCAGTTTCTCTCCACTTCCTCCGAGAAAATGGCTGAGACTCCTTCAGCCTGGTTGGGCCCCCGCCCAGCTTAGAAAATATCCAGACTGAGTTGGAGCCCCCCAGGAAGAGATCTAGCAGGGTGTGGGTTCAGCAACCCACAGGTTCAGGGTGTGGGTTCAGTGTTCCTGCTCCGTGGCCTAATCCAAGGGCCAAAACTTGCTCCAGAGAGAGACAGGGGTATGTGTGTGTGTATACAGGGAGGAGGTGGCAGTAGGGGGAGCGGCGCATATATATTGATATATATATGTATCAAATCTATATTGCGAACATCATGCTTTACTATTTGCAATTTGCAACCACCACAATAACGTCCCCGCTATAGTCAGAGCCCGTGCAAGGGCAGGACTCCCCAGCCTCGCGTGGCAACGTCTGGTATGTACGGGTGCTGAAACACTTTGCCCGCAGGTAGGATTTGGAGGAGCGGTTTAAGCTTATTGGAATATCAATTCCCTGGTGATAATCTGATCAGGGAGATGTCCACACATCCCTGAAATAGGCTTGGCGGACGGGACTGGAAGTCCACTCTCCCGTCCCCAACACCAGGCACTGCCGGAGAGAAGGAAAAGGAGGAGGCCCATCCGCCGAGGCTGCGTCCCCAGTGGCTTCTTCAGATCCCCAGTTGGGAAGCCTGGCCTGGGCAGACGCACTGAGCCAGACCGCGGTGGGCACTTGAGGCCCTTGCCTTCCACGCTGAGTCATTTCTCTTAAGAAGGGCCGTGGCGGGTGGGAGGAGGCCCCTCACGCACCGGAGGGAAAGGAGCTGCAAGCAGCTTTGATGCGGGTGGTCGGCGGCTCAGGCGCTGGAGTCAAGGTCGATGCAGGGAGCCCACCAGTGGCTTTCCAGGGGGGAAGCCCTGGAGCTGTAGGACAGTGCAATGGAGCCTCCAGACCAGAGTGCGGGAAGTCGGGAAGTTGAGGCCCCCCTGGGCTGAGCCCATCCTGGAGGCTGAAGCAGAGCCCACTCCAGGAAGTGCTGGGGACACGCTGGAGAAAAACCCCGGTAGCCGACCCACTGTTTCGACACCACACACTCACCCCCTGTCCCCCACCTGCACCTCAGTCCTTAGCCCTGAGCAATGGGAGATGGTCCTTACTAGCCGTCCTAGCTGGTTCAGGTTTGAAGTTTGGATCATTGCGTCCTCAAACCTGTTTAAACCTTACTGGCTTGCACAGACAAGAGCACTGGTTCCGCCATCCTCTCCTGCCCGGACGAGGAGGGGAGCCCGGCGCACCGACCAGAGGCGGCGGGAGGAAGAGTTCGCCCTCCGCTCTCCACGCTCCCGGTGCCGGCTGCCCTCCCTGCCACAAAGCCGCCTTTCCGGTTGAAAAGTCTCGCTCCCCAGTGGCTCAATTAACCGGATTATTGTTTCCTACAGAGAGAAATCAACTCGCACTCAGCTGAACCCTGTCACCGCAAATGCCAGGCACAATGAAACTCACCATACAAGAAAATAAAGAGGAAAGAAAGGGGGCAGGGTGGGAGAAAGCCGCAGCCCACACGGCCCATTTCGGAGAGTTGGGTCCACCGGGTTGCGTATTCGCTGTAGGAGATGAAGGGAGAGCATTGGTTTGTTCCGTGCAGCGAAGAACGAAAGAGCGTGCACTTTCGCTGTAGTCAACCCCCAACTGAAGTGGACCAAAAAATAAACTACCCCCCATCCAGTCCATCCTCAGACCTCAGGCGCAGGGACCCGGCGTGGGCTGTAGCCACGACTGCCAGGAGCCACGGTGGGCAATGCGACCACAACGAAACCCGGAGCCCCGCAGGGCGCACGCCCACGGCCAAGCGCCCCAGAGGCGCGGTATTTCTCCCGGTGCGCGGCGCCCACCCGGCGGTTCGCAGGCAGCAGGTTTAAGTCACAGAAAACCATCACTGTAGATTCCCATGCACAAAGGGGCAGGCGCGGGTGGGTGCGGGTGCTGGTTCTGCAGGACACAGCGCGCGAGCAGGTTTTGCCCCCCCAAACTCGGGGCCTCAGCGCCCTGCCTTCCCCTTAGGGATGTGGCTGGAGAAGCCGAGCCCACCCCGACAGAAACCCTGGGTCTCCTCGCAGGGTTCCCTGCCCCCCCGGCGGGTAGGGGCCGCTTCCCGCACGGCGCCTCCGACGGTCCCTCCCCGGCGCGCAGCGCTTGGAGGGGGCGGGGGGAAGCGGGTCAAGTTTTCTCCGGGTTCGGGTTCTTTCCCCAGAGCTGCCAGCAGCGCTGGGCCTCCGGCACTTCCTCCGCCGCCCATCAGGGCTCACGCCCTGCGCCTGGAGGGTGGGCCGGCGGAGGTCGCGGTTCCGAGCGGCCCCGCGCGCTCAGATGCTGCGGGGCCACGGCGCTGGCGCTCGGAGCCGCGCTTCTCCGGAAGCCAGCGGCCAGCGAGCGGCGAGGCCGGGCCCTGACGCGCCGTTGTCTCCGCAGTGAAGGAGGAGGGCGACCGCGAGATCTCCAGCTCCCGGGACAGTCCCCCGGTGCGCCTGAAGAAGCCGCGCAAGGCGCGCACCGCCTTCACCGACCATCAGCTGGCGCAGCTGGAACGCAGCTTCGAGCGGCAGAAGTACCTGAGCGTGCAGGACCGCATGGAGCTCGCCGCCTCGCTCAACCTCACCGACACACAGGTCAAGACCTGGTACCAGAACCGCAGGTGAGCCCCGCTGCCGGGCAGCGGGAGGGAGGGAGGGAAAGGTCCTTTCCCCACAGCTCCCGGAGGGGGCCCTGGACTGCAGACTGGCACCAACCCCTTCCATTCGGTGAGACCAGGAAACTGAGTGGAGGACAGAGGCTTTGCCCAAAGTTTCAGTGTGAAAAGACAGTGTCCATTCAGCTGGGACAGGAGGACAAACACATGGGCCAGCAGAGGCCCACGCCCTGTCCCACCCCAGCGGCACCCAGGGCCTCCGGGCCTCTGAGCTCTCCCAGCAGAAGCCCCAGGCCACGGGACAAGAGGACCAGTTGGCCCTTGGGACCAGGGAAGCCCAGTCTGGTGCAGGTGGCCACTGTGGCTGCCTCTGAGCTTTCCACACTGGGCTGGTGGTGCCTCGCTGCGCCTTTGAATCACGAAACCCGAGGAGGGATCTCCCCCAGCCTGGCTCCTCCTGGGGACAGAGTGACATGGAAACTGGTGCTGGGGTGCTGGTCGTGGACCTGGCTCCTAATGTCCCATGGAACACTTCCATAAGTGCAGCATCCACACACGCAACCCACAGAGTGAGGCGCTCACGCCTGTGGTCATTTGCACGCTCGGCCGAGGCAGGACCGGCGCTTTCCATAAACAAGCCGGGAACACACAGCCCCATTAATAATAAATACCGATTACTGCTCCAGGCATCAATAATTAAGGCCCGTTACAGTAATTACACAATTATGATGATGATGAATAATTCAGGGAGAGACAACACGGGGTTGGGGTAGCTGAGCCCACCTCGGTGGGACCCAGGCTGGCCCGTCCAGCTTCACCTGCCGGGTGAGCCCAGGGGTTCCCGCCAGCCTGTGGTCTCCCGACTCTGACCACACAGGCCTTGGATCGCGGTGTGGAGAGTGGCAGGGAGGCAGCGTAGGGTGGGGGGATGCACCCTGTGCCTCAGCACAGGCCCCCGCGGTGGCCCGGGGACTCCGTGGTAGCTTGTGTATGTTTGTGTGTTGCCGGGGGAACCCAGCACTCCTTCCCATCCTGCCACCTCTCCAGGGTGGTCCTGTCTCACGGGGTCTCCCCTGGAGACACACGCGGGGTCCCGGGACGGCGTGCAGCTCCCAGGGCCCACCTGCAACTTCGTGACCCTGATCCTGGTGGCAGGATCGGGGCGGAGCTCCGTGGTCGCAGGGCCTAGTTTCGAACCCCGGGCTCGCTGCTGCTCTTGATAGAATCGGAACCCGAGCTCCAGGCCTGTACAGTGGGGGTGCGAGCCAGGCAGGCCGGGCAGGAGGTGAAAGGAGAGGACGCGCCGGGAGGCGTGTGGACGCAGCCTGGCGCCGGCGATATACACACGGCTGGCTGGGGCCGACGGGGCCGCGGGGCGCGGGCTTCTCAGGCACCCCTGGCCCTGACCCGGCCGCGCGCGTTTCTTTTGGCCCCCAGGACTAAATGGAAGCGACAGACGGCCGTCGGGTTGGAGCTGCTGGCGGAGGCAGGCAATTACTCAGCGCTCCAGCGGATGTTCCCGTCGCCTTATTTCTACCCGCAGAGTCTGGTTTCCAACCTGGACCCGGGCGCTGCGCTCTACCTGTACCGCGGCCCCAGCGCGCCGCCGCCCGCCCTCCAGAGACCTTTGGTGCCTCGAATCCTCATCCACGGACTCCAGGGCGCCAGCGAGCCGCCCCCGCCGCTGCCCCCGCTGGCCGGCGTCCTCCCGCGCGCCGCGCAGCCTCGGTGAGGCGCCCGCCCGCCATCCGCCCCCGGCACGGGGTCCAACGCCCCTTGGGGTGGGGGCCGCAGGCCCTCCCTGGCGCCCCAGCTCGGTGTCCCCGCGAGGGCCAGATACCAGGTCCGCCGAGGCCTGGTCCCCGGACTGCGTCCCCCTAACCCTCCTGGACGCCCACCTCCGCTCGCGTCTCTGTCGCCCACTCCCACCAGCGCAGCGCCCCTTCCCCTCGCCGGAGCGGGCAGGGGTGACCCCCGCGCTTTGCCCTCTCCCAGCCCGCCTTCCAAGCTCCAGCTGGAGACCACCCGGGAGCGGAGAGGTGCGGGGACCCCGCGCCTCTCGCGCCCTCGCCGGCGGCCGCGCTGTACATACCGTGTGCAAAGTGTATATGAAGTTATTTATTCGTGACCCACGAGCCCGTGGCTGTGTCCGTGAACAGTGTCCGTGCCGTGTCCTCCCCGTCCCGGGCGGGGCGGGCAGGGGTTGGGGGGCTCACCCTCCCACCCCGACCCGGCCCCACCTCCGCCCGCTCCCGGGGTCAGCCAGGCCTCCCGGGCTCTTTTTTTAAATGTCGAAATAAACTTCTTACAAATCACCAGGCGCCTGTCTGCGCTCAGGCCGCCGCCCACCCCTCCGCGGCGTCTCCCTCCCCCGGAACCCGTTGCGGGGCCCCTCTTCGCTTTGGTGTGGTGAGGGCGTGCGGGCCCCGACTGCACCCACTCCGCGGGGTTCTGGAACAAGGGCCCCTTTCCCTGGCCTCAGTTTTCCCATCTCTGTAATGAGAGCGCGCCGCGCTCCTCCTCCTGCTCCGTGCGGTCCCGAGGGCCGGTGGCGGGAGAGGGCGGGGGTCAGAGCCCTGCCTCCCCCGGCGGCGGGCTGGGCCTCGGTGCCCCGGCTGAGCCGACTCATCTGGCCGCGACAAGGGCGCCGGCAGCTGGTGACCGGCCGGCCGGGCTCGGGCCGACAGATGGGCTTCGAGGCCGCTCCCCCATCCTCCCCGCCCTCCCCTGCCCGAGCTCGGGTTGCCGACCGACGTTGAGTGCGGACGCCAAGGCGGCACCGGGGCGCCTTCTCTGCGAACCTGGGGTCACCCCGGTCCTGCCTCTCACCTCCCCCTTCAGGGGCGGGGGCTGGAAACCGCGATCAGCGCAGTCCCTCCCTTCGTCGGCCCCAGCCCTGGCTCCAGGGTCGGGGGAGGGGGTTTCAGTCTCAGGCCCCCGATAAAAGGGCCAAGGTCACCTCCTGAGACCCGCCCTCCCTGGGGAGGGGGGCGCAGGTGCTCCCCCGCGCACGCACCACCTGCAGCTCTCCGACCCTGGAGGAGGCAGCGGCGCCCAAGGCTGGGAGGTTAGGGGCAGGACAGCCTGGTGGTGGTGGCATGGGGTGGGCTGTGGAGACCTTCGCCCCCCACCCCGGGGAGCCCAGCCCCACTGCCTGGCTGCTACAGTTTCCTCCCCACCCCCAAGCTTTTCTTTCCCGGGCGGGCGAGGGTATTATTCTAATTTTGCAAAATGCACAGCAGCTAATTAAGTCGAGCAGCCCCTCGGCGACGGAGTCCTTTTGCATGTGAAAGGGGCCAGTAAATCCCCAGCTCGGGCTTCGGCGGGGGCCGGGGCCGGGGCCCGTCCCCAACTCAGGGTTAATGAAGTGGGAAAGGAGTCTCTCACAGCCTCCTGCAAACAAAACCCCCCATGCAACAAACCCTGCCCAAATCCTACATGGATTGACTTAAACCCAGGGGATAAGTGCTTTAAATTAATCTCATTGAATAAGAATGAGACCAAACAAAACTCTTTAAAATCATATTAAAAATCTATCAAAGGACAACTTGCACTGGTGTGCTTTTCATTTTGTGCAAGTGAGGGCGGCCTCACATTTACACAGCGCCAGTGTAAATCGCAGACACAGTCCCAACTATGTAATTGTCCTTGTACCGCCGAGGCGGCTCCGTCTCTTACATTAATGAAGAACAAGGTTTCCCGACAAGTTGATAATTACAATATTTTAAATTGTCCTGCACACGCCTCGCCGGCTGTAATAATAACCCCACAACCTGTGCGGCGAGGTGGCCCTCGGCTCCTATCCCCTTGGAAGGCTACACTGCTTTCTCTGCTCTCAACCCCGGGGCTGGGCGAGTTCTCCTTCAAGAGACGGGTGGTGGTGAGGACGCCAGGCTCAACAGGCCAGGCACCAAGGGGTCTCTTCCTGGGTCCCAACCTCACTCTACGGGCGGGGGCAGCCAGGTTTAAAAGCAATGCGGCTCCACGCAGCAGCCCTGGGAAGCAGGCGGGGATGGGGGCGAGGGCCCTGGGGGCCGTTCAGGACATGGTGGCTGGGTTTTAATGGCACCCAAGGACTCAGGGCTGACCCACGGGCAGTTCGGGGTGCATCTTCAGAGGCCCCACCTCCACTCTTCCCCAAACCTGTTTCCCTTTCACTTCAGAGGGAAAGTGAAAATCAAAAGAACCCACTGGGCTGTAGCCGAAAGGCCTCTTGCTGAGCTCTGGCTGCTCTAAGGGTGGACGGTGCAGCTCGCCGCCATCAGCTCTGACTTAATCACTGCCGGCCAGGGATCCGGGATCTCGGCCCCCGGCGGGCTCGTGAGAACCCAAGGCCCTTCCGCAGGGCGGGCAGAAGGAGGTGGCTCAGTGGCCCATTTATTACAGTCCAAACTCTCCCTGGTTTCAGTAGAGAGCCAAGCTCATGGAAACAGAATGGGCGAGTTTGGGACTAAGAAGAGGAAGCCTGGTTAAAAACACACACAAAATTAGAATGTGTGCGGTGGAATTGGGCTAACGCTTTGCCTAATTGATGTCTGAAATGTGTAATCTGTCAAGAGCCATATAAGAGAGAGGTTTATTTGACGGTTACTTAAGTTTAGATAGTACTCACCCAGAACCTGCTAACCCACGTTTCTTTATTAACTGGTGCAAATTACTGATTTTACTGAGAGGCAGGCTCACAGGGTCTATGGCCAGGAACCCTCGCGGTGGGTGAGTTCCAGCCTCAGAACTGGAGCCACTTCCGCTTGGCCGGGTTCCAGCACTGTTCCCTCCAGGAACGTGGAATGTGCCACGGTGGGGGTGGGGTGGGGAGAAAATCTCTCCTGGATCGGCTCCAGTCACTGGCATCGATCCTGTTTGTCACACAGCTGGGTTTTCTCTCAAGTTTGATGCCTCCTTCTCTCGTCCAAATCGTGTGACCCACTATTACACAGCAAAGTGAGAGAAAGGTGGCAGGTGCGCCCCAAGTCCGTCTGACGCGGGCTGCGGGTGTTTCAGTATTATGAATTTCACCAGCTGAAGCCAGCAGCCCCGCCCCGCCCCGCCCCGGGGGCAGAGGGACACGCCCTCACTGCCGCCTCCCAGCCAGCCCGAGTCCTCTTGGGGGCGGTGGGGAGGTTAATCTCTAACCCCGAGGGCTGCATGGGGCAAGGCTCCCTCTCCGCTAGGGTCCAAATCTTACATTTATTGGGGAATCAAGGGTCTCCAGGGGGCTCCTTTCAAGCTTTCCAGAAAACACAATGGCAGCGGGGCAGCTGGGGTCAGGTCACAGCACAAAGACCCCAGACCCCTCTCAAGACCAGGCGGGATTCGGTGGGGGGCACAGAGCGGAGGCATGGGGGAATCAGAGGCTCCCGTGGACGTGGACGTGGCAGGGCACGCGTGCCGGGCTCCCACGGCAGATGCGCTGGCCCGGGTCACAACACTCCCTGGGTTCTCTGCGACAGAGCTCCTGGGACTTGACTCGCCCCTTACGTGCAGATTCAGCTCCAGCTGCTAACCTGCCCCAGCCTTGCTGACTGACCGACAGGGCTGCAGGGCGGGTCAGGCCGTCCAGGATGCCGCACAGGCGTCTCTCCTGGATGCAGGTGACAGAATCAGCCATCTCTGGAGGGCTGGCTGGTGACCCCTGCCCCAGGATTCCATCAGGACCCCTGCCGCGGGGGATTCAGAGTGTCAGAGGCCAGGCCGCCGAGCCCGCTCCTGCAGGGGGCTCCACAGGACGCCCGTGCCAGCCCAGGCCCTCCCGGGGCTCCGCTTTCACGGAGAGCGCTTCTGTCTCCCACGGCCGAGGCTGCCGGCTCTCCTCCCTCCGTGTCTGTCCTGCCCGGTGACCTTGGCAGCCACAGTCTCCAAACCACTGGAGTACTCGGAGCGCAGGATCTCAGCCAGGCGGCGGCGCTTGCTCTGGGTCTCCTTCCCAAGGGCAGGCCTGGAGAACAGGGACAGCGCAGGGGAAGAGACTGTTATTCTCTGCTCTCCGGTCTGGGAAGAGGCGGATGGCAGCTGGTTCCGAGCCCGCGCGGCTGACATTTTTGTATTAACAGAGGTACAATCCCTTCAATGGGGCTTGTTTTGATATTCTATGCGCCAGAAGATTAGATACTGCGCTGACAGATTTTCATAACGGTGGCAAAATATCATGGCATTTTTAAAAGTGAGGCTTTGTTCTGTGTTGTTTTCATGGGAAAGTAAGAGCTACACACCCCCCTACTCCGGCGGCAAACCAGGTGCGCGAGACCGCAGCTTGCTGAAGGATGGGGAAGCCCACCTCCCGCAGCGGGAGGGTGTGGGGCTGCCGGGGCGGCTGCTGGCGCCCACTGAGCTCCCCAGCAGCCCCACACCCCGGGTTCCAACCGCAAGGGCCAGGCCATCGGCCCAGATACCGCACACTCTCAAACCAGGGTGTGGGCGCCAGTCTCTGGGCAGACCCAGGCCGAGAGCTCTCCATGGAGCGGGCTCCAGAGGGAGGTCTCTCCTTGCCCCAGCGCCCACTAACACGCCAAAGGTGCCGCGTCACAGCACGTGCGCACCAGACAGCAGCCTTACCATCTGATGGGAGATCAGAGGGGCGATTTGTAGTTCAATCACACACGAGAAGAATGATTATGAAAACCGCAGAGTACGACGTGTCTTAGGACAAGATTTCAACCAAAACGACGACACAATCACTGACAAACCCACGCCGCCTCGCAGACTCCCGCCTCGCAGACTCCTTCAAGCCAGGACGGGCAGCAGTCTCAGGAGGCGAGAGTCACGGAATTCTAACAGCGCGTGGCGTGGGCCCTGCTGTGCTGTCAGGGTATAACCCCCCTGCAGCTGTCAGAACCCAGCAACTCGAACAGGGTGACGCCGTGGAGTGCAGAATCCCAGCAGGACTGGGCTAAAACGGCGCCCAGGCAGCAGCCGCTCGGCACTGCTCCCCGCTGTCCCTACGGAAGAAGCCGGCGACCTGTGCTGGGCCGCAAGACGGGGGCTCGGGGGTCAGTGCAGTGCAGGGTGCACTGTGTACACCGACTGGTCACTGAGACCAGACACCCACAGCCAAGCCCTTCCTGGGTCCCTGTGAGGTGACCTGGCACATCACCTCCTCCGCTCCCCCCACTCTCACTTCCTGCACCCCCACTCTCACCTTCTCCACTCTCCCCACCTCCTCCACTCCCCCCTCACCTCCTCCACTCCCCACTCTCCCCTCCTCCACTCCTACTCTCACCTCCTCCACTCCCCACTCTCTCACCTCCTCCACCCCCACCCTCACCTCCTCTACCCCCCTTTGTCTTTCTCTCCTCCACTCCAACTCCCCCCTCTCACCTCCTCCACCCCCTCTCACCTCCTCCACTCCAACTCCCCTCTCTCACCTCCTCCACCCCCACTCTAACCTCCTCTACTCCAACTCCCCCCACCTCCTCCACCCCCCACTCTCACCTCCTCCACTCCAACTCCTCTCTCTCACCTCCACCCCCACCCTCTCTCACCTCCTGCACCCCCACTCTATCATCTCCCCCCACTTCCTCTCACCTCTTCCACACCCACTCCCCTCTCCCACCTCCTCCACCCCCACCCTCTCACCTCGTCCACCCCCCACTCACCTCCCCCCACTCCCTCTCTCATCTCCTCCACCCCTCCCTTTCCTCCCCTCCTCCCCTCCACGCCCACCGAGGCAGGGACAGTAACTCCTCTGATGTTATGAGAAGGACGCGTCACTGTCCGAGCCCATGGGTCCAGCATGTGCAGAAGCCAACACACAAACCCAGGTCGAGGGACTCAGAGCCTTCGCTTGCCCACCAGGCTGCTGTGCAGAGGTAGAGAGCCATTCGCAAGGCAGGCTGACTGGAAGCTGACCGGAAGGCACAGGGGGCCAAGGCTGGGACAGGACCAGGATCTACAGGGGGCAGTCCTCTGTGGCTGCACGGGGCAGCTGCGGGGGATGGCACGGGCGGAGGGCCACACTGGGTCAGAAGCTGCTGTCACTCACTCACAGCTCGACGACAGGGCAGGGGTGACTCGGGCTGTGTCCTAGCTGCTTCATCTACAAAAGGGGGTGACACTGAGGAAGAAGAGCGTTCCTAATTCTCTGAGGAGGGAGTCACAGCTAGCGCTGGGCCTGGCGGCCGGCGTGGGGTGAGTCAGAGCTGGACAGGAGGAGACGAGGCCCAGAGACGCCCCCGGCCCGCGGGAGTCAGGCCCTCCCGTGGGGCCCTGGGGACGGCACTCACCCCTTCTGAAGAGCCGGGAGGTGGCAGAGACAGGCCTCACGAGGGGCACTCAGCCTGTTCCAAACGAAGGCCGCCACTTCCCGTGCCTGTCGTTTATTTTAGTCAGGCCAACTGACAGACGGAGTGAAAAGGTCTGACAGGAAGGAAGGGTTCTTCTTCCCCTTGTCTGAGGCTGGGTACTCACAACGTGTCTAATTCTAGATGTAACAACACGAGTTTCAAAATATGCAAAATTTCTGTGGAAATATTCCCCCTAGCATAAGCTCCCGCCCTTCAGTGACTGCTCCTGCTACTGTGGAAGCAAAACAGATAACCAGAACCTCACCTGGTGACTGGCACACAGCTGGCCAGAGCAGGGCAGGCCGCAGACGCTCCTCCAGTCAAGGGCACTCAGAAAGCACCGGCAGTCTGCCGGCCACGACTAACCAGAGCCACAGTCCGCAGGGCACAACCTCCATGGGGCAGGTACACACGCACGCACGCACACACACACGCCCCTGGGGTGCACCTACACACACACACACACACACGCCTCTGGGGTCTACCTATACACACACACACACACACAACCAGGGTCCACCTACATACACACGCCTCTGGGGTGCACCTACACACACACACACACCCCTGGGGTCTACCTACACACACACACACACACGCCTCTGGGGTCCACCTACACACACAGGCCCCTGGGGTCTACCTACACATACACACACATACACCTCTGGGGTCTACCTACACACACACACAGACCCCTGGGGGGGCACCTACACACACACACACACACACACACATATGGGGTGCTCCTACACACACATACACGCTCCTGGGGGGACACATACACATACACCTCTGGAGTCTACCTACACACACACACACCCCTGGGGTGCACCTACACACACACACACACACACACACGCGCCTCTGGGGTCTACCTATACACACACACACACACACACAACCAGGGTCCACCTACATACACACGCCTCTGGGGTGCACCTACACACACACACACCCCTGGGGTCTACCTACACACACACACACACACACACACACACGCCTCTGGGGTCCACCTACACACACAGGCCCCTGGGGTCTACCTACACATACACACACATACACCTCTGGGGTCTACCTACACACACACACAGGCCCCTGGGGTGCACCTACACACACACACACACACACGCCTCTGGGGTGCACCAACACACACATACACGCTCCTGGGGTACACCTACACATACACCTCTGGAGTCTACCTACACACACACACACGCCCCTGGGGTACACCTACACACACACACGTACACACCCAGGTCCACCTACATACACACGCCCGGGGTGCACCTACACACACACACACACACACACACGCCCCTTTCATGGGGGTTCAGGACCTGTCCCTTCCCAGATCAGGCCAGCAGAGGAAGGCCCACCCTGTGGGTGTGTTGGGAGGAGTGTCCGAGGGGGACCTCAGGGCCACCACAGGAGAGGACCGCCTCAGCCGGCCAGCTCTCCTTCGGCTGGCGCCCGCGTCACCTTACTCTGCCAGTGTCCTCTGCCAGCCCCCAGCTCAGAGGCTCCTGGTGGTCTAGGAGCAGGCAGGGTCCACACCGCCCAGACCCAGACCTCTTCCAAAGGTGGGAGAACCTTGGGGCAGGCCCGTGGGGTTCAGCTACCGTCACAAGGGCCACCCCACGGGAGCCACGTTCCCCCCCCTCTTTGTTCTGAGGCCCACAGTGCAGATGGGAGGACGACCCTCTACACGGGGGCCAGCTGCATCCTCCAGGAACCTGCCAGCCTCCCTGCCACCCCACGTGCCCCAGCCCCTCCCAGACAGGCTTCCTGCAATCCTGCAGTCACTAAGCAACAGATCAGGGAAGGCTGTGGGACCCCCTCGGCACCAGGCGGGACCACTCGCACTGCCAGCCAGGTGAAACCACAGGCAAATTAGCCCACCAATACACCCTGCTGGGACGACCGCTGGAGCAGGGGCCGCGGGGCCTCCTCCCACCTCGGGGGACCCTCCTGGGTGAGGCCGATGGGCGGGGCTTGCTCCTCCACTTTAGTCAGGGGTCACGCGGGCCGTCACTACTTTCTCTCACGCTCTGCGGCTTTAGGGTCGGTCACTGCCGCATCCTTTCAGATCCCGAGAATCAGTGCCCAGACACTTGTGTGAAGACAAAGCGCCTGATCTAGTGACCTAACTCTAGACAAACGACTGCTCATCGCAGACGCTCCCAAAAGCCACACGCGCACAGGGTGGGCAGAGGAGGGCTCAAGGGTGCCTAAGCACTGAGGTGGATTTGGACTGTGGCCCATGAGCAGGGGTTTCTCTTTTTAAAATATTTATTTCAAAGGCAGAGTCACAGAGAGGTGGAGGCAGAGAGAGAGAGAGAGAGAGACAGAGAGAGAGAGAGAGAGGGTTTTCCATCGGCTGGTTCACTCCCCAAATGGCCACTATGGTCAGCGCTGGGCTGATCAGGAACCAGGAGCTTCCTCTGGGTCTCCCATGTGGGTGCAGGGCCCAAGCACTTGGGCCATCTTCTACTGCTTTCCCAGGAGCGTTAGCAGGATTGGAAACTGAGCAGCCAGGATTGAAGCCAGTGCCCATATGGGATGCTGACACTGCAGGCGGCGGCTTTACTGGCTACGCCAATAGCACCAACCCCCTTCTTGAGTAATTTTGAAGGTTTTCTCTATTTCTTGAATCTTT